ATTTGGGTGCGTATTGGGTAAACTCTCGAATTGACACAATAGCCTGCAAATCACGCCAACTAGATAAACTGCACTAGGCAAGTTCGGTACGACAGGCTCGACCGAGAAAGTGTTGGTAGGGGGAATCGAACTCGTAACCAAAGGCTTCCGTGCTCACCTACTCCACCAACTCGGCCATCCCATGAGGGGCACTCTTTTTCTTTCCTTTTTCCTTCGGTGGAGTGGGAAGGGTTGCAAAACCAGTACCTGATCCGGTCCTATCCTTTGTTGCTCTTCTTTTTAGTTTCTGTTCAGCAACCTGGAATTTCAAATGACAATAGAAAAACATTATAAGATTATAAAATAATTACAGAAGACAATAGTCTCAATAATATTCATTAATTAACCCAAATATTTTCTTTGATATGATCATTGTTAGAATCCAACTGCATCGCTGCCAAAAACGTAACAAATTTTTCTCACAATTCACCAAGGTAATTTCTGTTTGTTTCAAAATATATGGTGGTGAAAGGGTTGTTTAGTAATGAACAAACAAAGATGAAGTTAGAATGTTTAAATCGCTTGAGTGTAATTAAACTTTACAGAAGTAGAAAAGAAGTACAACGAAGGTGGAAAACGATCCGAAACAAGTGATTACACTTCCTCCATAAGTCAAAATTACCCTGCAATGGTGCTAACGGTTCAGTGCACTTGTCTTTCAAGATATAACGAATTCAACTTGTGGTAAAAATACTTTAAACTACAAGCAACAGTGAACTCGAATGGAATTTATGCGCTCTTCAAGGAAAAAAAATAAAAAATGATTTTTGGAGAAAGAGATTTTATGCAATACTCAATGTAATAGTGATATATATTTTATTATTTTGTTTTAATGCAAATACCTGTATTGGCACGCTTGATCTCCATTATATTGTGCCAAAATACATCATTCTGACCCTGAAATAGTGATCTGAAATGCTATAAGGAATGTTGAATGCCCTAATGAGCTCTAAAAGTCCCTATGTCATCCTCGGTTGATTATTTGCGTTTTACGTTTTTTTTTTTTTTTTATAATTTACATTAAACCAGATGGGTTCTGTGGATTATGATTACCATTTTGATTTGTTCTTGCAGCTGTCGTACTTGTGGATACAATCTAAACCTGAGCTCATCCAGAAGGAATACGTCAACTATTGGTTCCAAATATTCAAAATCCATAAGGAAGGGGATCATTACATTTTTCTTTGTAGATCAAAACAAATTCAATCAGGTTGAAGAGTTCAGTTGCGTACCCTACTTCATTTCCAAGCACTCTTGGGGTTTATTCCGATGGAAAACCAAACTTTTGTGCCCCAAATGTAGTAACCACACTTATGATGATAATGCTTATTCTTATCCTCTTATGCCAAAAGGTACGAGTTCACCCTCTGGCAGTGAAATCTCCAATCCGAGGAAATATGATATCAGAATTCGTTCTTTGCAACCTTCTGCAGAATTTGGGACTCTGTCTGTCTTGTAATGTCTCTGTGAAGCATTTGTACCATATGCAATCTTTTTCTGATTTTTATGCTGTCCATAAAATACCGTCTATTGTTATTATTCAAATTAAGGCTCTATCACGAATGATTCATAGCTCCTCATGCAACTTATCTGATTGTTCTGCCTACGAAGTTTAGGCATTTTTTTTACTGGGAATGTTGTAAATATTTCTTATGTTTATTTGGCTTTCTTTTGCTCCATGAAATATTATTATTCGTGTATATGAATCACATTGTGACTGGAATCCTTTGTATTAACGACGATGAAATGTAATACAAATATTAATTCTCTTTCTCTCGTTTACTCTTCCCCCGCCCCCCTAGGTCGTTAGTTCAATATGCATTTATATTAGCTTAATAAAGATTTTATAATTTTATGTGTGTAGGAATTTTCATATAAATCGATACGGTGGATAATAATAGTCATGAAAAAAGAGAACAGGATACTCTATGAAATGTGAGTTCTATTGGCCATTGGGCAACTGGCAGACGGATTAAAGATATTCTTCAAATTTATTATAAATAATATAATTAAATAAGAACATAGTTTGGCTATTCATTGTTCATCAAAACTGTTTGAGGTTCCTCAAGGCTAACCCTTAGGCTGAGGTGTGCATTTGATTTGCATTTTTCAGACTTTTTATTCCTCATCCCATCTTTTTTGACTATTTTTTTTGTCGTAACTTAGAACTTTTTATGTGACACCCATGAACTGATGTTTTGACTCAGTTAAATTATTTGACTAATGAATATTTTCGCTTGAAATTTTCTTGAATTTTGAATATTGTTTGTAAAGAAAATTTTGATTCTTGGCACGAAATAAATCTTCACGAGAAAAAAATGGCCATTATCTTGGCTAATCTGACCTTTTCATTTTGTCATTTGATAGTTCAATAGTAATGATCACACTTAATGTACTGCTTTCATTTTTTGTAACACCTTTAAATGAAGGGTAAGAGGAAGGAGAAGATACCATTACACAACTACGACATGATCATATAGAATGATAAAAAACTGATAACGACGAGGGTGATCAAGAATCAAATTTGGTGATTTTTCTCTTAAAAAATTATTAGTATAGATAACATAGGGGAACTTTTAAGTTGTTTGATTCTAGTAGGAGATCATGATTTGGATATTCGATTACTAATTTTGAGAATTCATTGATTCTTTAAAATATAGTTATTGTTTGCTTACAAGTTAGATTTTTATTTTTGTTAATTTATTATAATTTTCGAGACAACTTAAGGTTATTACGGGCACGTGTTTAAATTTTTATATATTGTTTAAAAATTTTACTCGTTTACCACTTGAACTGATTACTCGATTCACAAGAAGTATACATTAAGCCATTTTAACCGTGGTAGCTACTACTTTTTATTACTGGGAGAAAAATTAAATTTTGAGTAATTTTTTTCAAATTTCATTTAGGGTCATTTGATAGCACCCAATTCTATGGCAAATGTCACATCCGAGAAATTTGTTTTTTTACTTTAAGTGTTTGATACGAAAGTGAAACTGGAGTTCGAATTCTAAGGTACAAACACTTAAAACATGTTTTTGGCCAATTTCATGAAAATCGAATTCTTATGGTTTTGGTGATTTTTTCTTTTCCAACTTACATGGAATTGATTTGTCCTTTTCACCTTTGCCATCAAACGGATCTTAAGGTAGACATGTCAATGAATAAATGTGTTCCTCTATAGTTCTGTGTACTTGGAGTTGAAGAGAATTTAAGTTGAATGCATCAAATTCCATGTAGTCATCTTGATACTTGTTTTCTTAGGCAAATAACTCGTATTTAGAATAAATATCCTGAATTTTTTATTTTTTTCTCACTTTAAAGATCGTGTTGAATTCTTATCAACCACAGAAATTAACGTTGCATTCCATACTCAAAAGATTGATTATGAAGAACCATACCATGTGGACTGTTCTTGCTTGAAGTGAAATGAAAGGGAAATAGGAAAAGGAAGGGATCAAGATCTTCAGAGGCCTACCAGTTGCTCCAAAGCCGTGGTAGCTCTTATTTAAAATAAACTTTATCGGCATATTTGATATATCGGACTGGGCCACACTTGATATGAGACTTTATGAGCTATGGTTAATGATGAAAACGAAGTAAAAATATTGTCTATTAAGCTCTGTAGTACTGTATATTGGTTGGAGTGCATGAAATAAGATTAATGACTAAAAAGAAGATAAAATATTGTCCATTATACTGTGCAAACTATTTGCCAAACATACCCCACAAATATTGATGGTCTCCTTTCTATGTGACAAACCAATGTGCCTCAATAAAGTATTTGGACTTCGACTCGAGCTTGCAAAAGGATCTTGTAATGAAATGAAAAGGTAATAAAAGCTTTCCCCTTTTATTATTCCAGCCACATTTTTTTGATTTGTGGTGGATGATAGGGTTGAGGGGTCTGGTCATAGTCACCAACTCTTTAATTGTCTCTCTCTCACTGTTGTTTTCTCCTCAACTTTTTTGAACTAAGGATGCTGCTGTTCTCTTCTTCTTAGGAACAAGTATTATGCTTCTGGGAGACGGCTTTAGAAGGGATGGAATAATCTTGTTTAGGAATAGTAATTAGCATGTCATAGTTTTAAACTTCGGGTGCTCTTCATGAGAGGACTTCTTTAAGCACCTCAAGACTCGTGCTCTTTTAAGGGTTTTTTCTGGGTTAGTTTAAACGCACAGTTGGCTAGAAAAATAGAACCGGAGAATAGAGGATAGAATAAGTTCCATATATAAACCCATCTACCAAGCAGACAACA